AGGACATCCCTGCCCCTCAGTGGGCTACTGGAGTAGCCCTCAGACCCCACGTGAGTGGTGTGAAGAGGACCCTTCGGCCTGGGCGTCCTCAAGAGAGGAGAGTCTGGAAGAAGCTGCCAAGAGCCTTAGAACGGGCTTCAAGTAGCTGAGGGCTGGCAGTCAGCACCGACAGGCATGTCAGACGTGGTGGCCACGTAGCCACGAGGACAGCATCTCAGCCACAGCAGCAGCTCCGGCGGGGACAGCGCCTCTAGTTCACTATCTCAGGCCCAGGACGTGGGGCTGGGCCTTGTATGCGCCAGCCAGGACCTAGGGGTGGTTCGGGGGATGGTCTCTTACCCTCCAGCCGGCAGGGCTCAAGGACAGCTTGGCAGGAAGAGATGAAAGAAGATGGGAGGTGTGAGGGATGTTGGCCCAGGTCGTGGGATAACCTCTGGTCCCTGGGGAAGTTTCAACTGTACCAGAGCTGCCGAGGAAGCAGCACCATAACCCTAAGCACCCAGGGAATGGGGCCCAAGGGCAAATCCTTGGCTTAAGGGAGCTGCCCCAAAGGGGCAGAAGGAGATAGCTCTCAGAGAGGAATGCTGCTGTGTGGAGCAGGCTGTGGGGCCCAGCTACCATGCTCAGTGCTAACTGGAAGTTTAGAGTTCAAGTCTACCACAGGTTCCTCAGAAGAAAGGCCTGGCAATTATGTCCCCAAACCAAAACCATCCAGGGAAGAGCACTGTTACTAGGTGAGGATTATATACAACTAATGCCATGGTGGACAATTTATCAACAATCTGCGTTATGCGGATGGCACAACCCTGCTTGCTGAAACTGAAGCGCCTGCTGCAGAGGGTCAAGGACTGCAGCATACAATATGGATTGAGGCTCAATGTCAAGAAGACAAAGATTCTCAGCACTGGACCAACTGGCAGCATCAGGATGGATGGTGAAGAGATTGAGATTGTACACAGCTTAAGTTGGCTTGGCTCCATAGTCAACAGTCTTGGCACCAGCAGCCAGGAAATTAAAAGGCGCATTGCCATGGGAAAGTCTGCTGTTAGGGACCTCTCCAAAGTGCTGAAGAGCAATGGTGTCTCTCTGGAGACTAAGGTGCATCTGATACAGGCCATGGTCTTTGCAATCACTTGTTATGCATCAGAGAGTTGGACAATGACCAAGGAGGATAGAAGGAGAATTGATGCCTTTGAGCTGTGGTGCTGGAGAAGAGTATTGAGAATACCATAGACTGCTAGGAAAACAAACAGATTTGTCCTGGAAAGGGTTAAACGGGGTGGCTCCTTGGAGGCAAGGATTCTGAGGCTCCGTCTAACATACTTTGGACATGTTGTGAGGAGAGACCGGTCCTTAGAGAAGGACATCATGCTTGGGAGGGTGGAGGGACAGCGCAGGAGAGGAAGGCCCTCTATGAGGTGGATTGATTCAGTGACTGGGATTATCGGGATGGGAGTGTCAGAGACGGTGCGATTGGCATAGGACAGAGCGGAGTTTAGGGCTGTTGTACATAGGGTCACTATGAGTCGCAGGTGACTCGACAGCACATAACAACAACAACAACAACAATGCCATGAAACAAAACATGTATGAACAATTGGATGGAAACCATTTGCTCCACAAACTTTCACTCAAACAAAATAGCTGAAAGCAGCTGTTGGAAACCTTTTGAGCACAGCTCTCCTCTCTCACGAGGGGCCTGGGTCTGAGCTGACTCACCAGAATCCGGAATATCTGTGCTGAAGACGAGGACAGGGACGCTGGGTGAGTAGCCTGGGGCGGGATCTGTCCTGGTGACCGTCATAAGGGGTCTGGGGCTCTCTGAAAGCTGTGCTGGGTAGCCCAGGGTCAGAACAAATCACTGGCCCCGCTGTCCTTGAGAAGCTGGGGTGGGGCCTGGCCATCTGTGAGGACCACCTCCTCTCAGAGAAGGAACAGACAGTCTTATGCTGTGGGGACCTCTGGACCGGGCAGTGGGCATGGGGGGCAGTGGGCATGGGGGATACACACACCTGCCGGAGAGCGCTGGGCTGGGTCACAGGGAATCAATGGTGTAGTTGGCAGCTCCCAGGGCCCCTAATATTACAGCAGCTGTTGCGAGAGCCTGGAGTACGTGTGTTGTGGTGGACTGAATGTTTCCTTCCAGATTGTCTGTAAAGCAAAGCGGAAAGTCCCCAGGCATGAGTCTCTGCTCAGAGCAAAGCTGGACTCACGTCCAGCTCATGTGGGGCCCATGGGCTCACAGGGACACCCCTCTGCAGCCTCCCTTTCTCCTTAAGGGAGCACTGAAACCTTCACCACCCTTAAAAACAAGCCTTGGCCCCTAGACAACACCACTCCTTCCAGCACAAGATCTGAATGAGTTGGTTGGGGGACATTACCCCAAACCCTCTGAGGGGGACAGGTTAGGACGGTGCTGAAGCCCTGAGTGGCCACTGTGCGCCAGGCCCTGTGTCAGACCCCACACCCAGGGCCCCCCCATGCCCCACAGCAAGCCTGCCTCCACTAGAGATGAGGAAGTCCTGCCCCTGCCTCCACCCAAGAGTGAGGGGGTGTGAGCCCATCACAGGGCCCAGGGAGGGGTCTAGGATTGAGTCAAAACCTCCAGGAAGGCATTCAAAAAAGATGCCACATTCATTTTGACAGAAAGCCTATGCGGGCAGGAATTCTAATGTGATTATCCGGAAGCAAATACCAACATTCCACTCCACTCCAAATGTAATGAGGTTTTAAGGTTTCAGTTTGAAAAAAAAAATAAGACTCTTAGCCCAGTTAATGGGATCCCTGTCTCTCTTCCCCCGCAATTTCCCAGTTCTGAGCCTTGCTTTGCCATTTTCCTCCACCAAGAATGTTCTCTGTTTTAAGCCACCGAGGGTGCTCAGGCTGTTCGCAGCTGGACTCCAACACTGCCAGCCCTGTGAAGGGGACTTGCGTTTCAGGAGCTCAGCTCATCTTTGAGCCTCTCCTGCAGGGCACGCATCACTTTGTGGCTTCTCTCAGCATCTCAGGCTCGTGCCTACTCTCACCATGTGGACTGACGAGTTTTAAGGGTCAGGGGTTCCTGGGCGGGTTTTCTTCACACTGAACCCTATCCAGAGGTGGGGGTGGGGACTTTTGTCATTAACACCTGCTGGTTTTAGATTGACATGAAAACGTGGCAGAATTTGTCATTAGAATGACAGGTAGGCTGAATGCGTGTGAGGAAAGGGTTAAAGTCAGCAGCAGTGCATAGTGGGTGCTTTCCCTCCGTTAACACACTATCTCTGGGGTGTTCCAGCTAACAGAGTATATTGGGAGTGGTCTCTGTAACAGTATTTTGAGGGAACAGAGGACACGGAGGTCTGGACACACCCAGATCTTCTGGCCTCTCTTTATATACAGGCATACCTCCTTTTATTGTGCTTTGCACTTCACAGATTTCAAATTCTTTTACAAACTGGAAGTTTGTGGTAATCCCGCCTGCGTCAAGCAAATCGATTGGCCCCACTTGTCCAATAGCACATACTTCATGTCTCTGGTCCCATTTTGGTCAATCTCACAACAGGTGACATTTTTTCATGATGCTATTGTGTAGACTACGGTATAGAGTCAGAGTAACATGTCTATGGCCTGGGAAACCAGGAAACTTGTGCGACTCTCTTTATTTCAATATTGGCTCTGCTGTGGTGGTCTGGAACCAATGTTTATACGAGATTGCTTTTCAAACTTAAGAACAGGGGAGGGAAATTGGTAGGGGGGAGATGGGAAAGAATGGATGGAAACGGAGAGGGACGAGGGACCTCTGCTCCTCTGTGGAGATCTAGCAGCTCCGAGGACAGGAAATGCATTTGAGTCCAGGGGAGCAGGGGGCTGGGAGCTGGGTATAGGCGGGAGACCCTACTCTGGCTGAGGAGACCCTTGGTCTGCCCTACGCTGGACAGGGGTCTGTCCATGAAGGCCCCCAGAGCCACCTAAGGGGCTGGGCTGAGATTACGAATGACACTGTGGGAATCTTGGTCCACAGCTCCCCTAAAATCTCCTCAGAGACTTCAAGGGGCTAATTATGGCTAATTATGACTCAGGGCAAAGAAGTGACCATCTTCTAATTGTTCAACTCAGGAAGAATTCGTGCAGGTCAGGAATCTGAGGCTAAGAATGAAGCAAATGACCACATGAGGGCGACCCGGCACCAGGGACCTGCGGGGCAGTGAAGGGGCTGCTCAGAGGAAAAAAAAGAGAGACTTCTGTGGAGAAAAGAAATGAGAATCTCCCCAAGAAGCAATCCCAAATAAGGAAAGCAGGGAGCCCCTCCTTGTGCAGGGGTGGGAGAACTCTGGGTGGTGGGTCCCTGTTAGAAACGGCCCTGACTACCAGCCGGGAAGTCTTCACCCTGAGGAAAGCAGCAACACTGAATGGGCTCATTCTCTGCTGAGAATTTACGTCTACCTTGGATAGAGTTGGGCCCTAAATCCAAAGGTCCGCTGTTCAAATCTACCAACCACTCCACGGGAGAAAGACGGGAGGGGCCGTCTCCTCCTGTAAATATTTGCAGCCACAGAAGCCCAACAGTCGGCCGTGTGCTGCTTCCAATCACACTGAGTTCTGCAGCAGCGGGTTGGGTTTTTGTTATAAGAATCACCTTGGGAACTTGCTGAAATGTAGCTTCTGACTGGGAATCTCTGGGGTAAAAAGGAGAATCTCTGCAGGAGGCTAAACTAGAATGAACTGAATGAGGCAAGGCTCTTTTTGGGCTCTAGATTCTCTGGGGGTAAGTCACAACATGGCTGTTAGGCCTACATCCCATTATCTTCCTGCAGAGTTTGGCTCATGGTGACCTCTATCCAATTTGCAAGGCTGTCAATCTCCCATGATTCTCCCTCAGAGCAGCTGGTGGACTTGAACTGCTGAACTTTCAGTTAGCAGTGCAACTGCCTAACAAACTAGGCCACCAGAGCTCCTTATAGGAAGTTGATGTTAGGAAGGCGGAGAGGTGTGCCCCAAGGCTCCAGTCCCCCACATGCTCAGAACCTGTAGATGGTCAGGAGACTTGGAATTCCTCTCCCAGAGAGGGGATGCCAGTCCCGGGGCATCAGGGCATCGTGGATGCGGCCATGACACTGCCCTGGATGATGCCAGCAGGTAGAGCTGCCTGGGCAGGGCACGCAGGCGCAGGATGGGCCCACATGCATCAGACGCCCTGGATGGACAGAAAAGGAGAGGAGTGAGTGCCCTCTGGCTCCAGAAGGCTCGAGGGGAGAGCCAGGAAGACACAGGTGGGAGAGGCTCACAGGCTGTCCCGAGAGGACCGAGAAGGGACACATAGACTCAAAGCACAAAACTGGCTGACAGAACATTCTCTTAAACAGGGGAGAGGATTAAGGTCCCGAGAGGATGGTTGGAACTCCCTGGGAAGGAGAATGTTACTACTACTAATATATATAATAGACTACACTCGTCAACTACCCATCACTCACTGTCAAAACCATCCAATGGAGTCAGCTATCACTCTCATGTTACAAACAGGGAAACAGGCTAAAAAAAATATAAGGGATGTGCCTAACGATTAGGCACTGGGCTGCTAACTGGAAGGTTGCAGGGTCAAGTCCATCCAAAGGAACCCTGGAAGCAAGGCCTGGCAACCTCCTTCTGAGAGACCAGAGCCTCTGAAAGCCTGCAGAGCTCAGCTCTGCTGACCACATGCTTCATCCAAGGAGACCCTCAGCGAGATGGGCAGACACAGCGACTCCAGCAACAGGCTTAAGCGTAGCTGAGATTGTGAGGCTGGTGCGCCCTCAGCGGGCTGTGTTGTGTTGTGTGTGCTATGAGCTGGGGTGGGTTGACACTACAGGTCGGCTGTTCCTTGGGCCATTGTGAGTCATATATGACAGCTCCTGACAACAACCACCACCATTCTTAAACTGATAAGACATTGAGGTTCTGGCCACTTTTGGGGAATATTTTGAATTATGCTGCTATCAATCTTCATGCACAAGTTTTTTGGGGGGTGGGTAGGGGTATGTTTTCACTTCTCATGGGTGCTTACCTAGGAGTGGACCTGCTGGTTCACATGATAAGGAACTTGAAGAAACTCTGATAGCTCAATACTTAAGTATTCATTTAAGTATTAGCATAATACTTAACTGAAAGATTAAGCAGTTTGAATTCACCAGGAGATTCAATAGAAAAAGACCTGGTAATTTGTTGCCATAAAAATGATAACCCCCAAACTCCCAAGGGATAATGCTAGTGTGTCACATGGGGCCACTGAGTCTCCGTCAACTCCGTGGCACCTAACAACAGGGCAGGTGGCACTAACCACCAAAGTGGCTGTACTATGTGAAATTCCCACCAGTGGTGTCTGAGGCTTCTGACTAACTGCCTCAGGTTTACAAGTACTCTTTACAGAAACATATTGCCTCATCTTGGAGTGGTTAGTGGGCTCAACCCCCCAACTTCTGGGTTAGTGCAACTGGCAATAGTAGTAGTAATTGTTGTTGTTGTTAGGTGCCATTGAGACAAATATGACTCACGTGGGAGACCTTATGAACAATAGATCTGAACCTTGTCCTGCCCTGCGCCATCCTCACAATTTCTAACACACTTGCGACCATTGTTGCAGCCACTGTGTGAATTCACTTGGTTTGAGGGTCTTTCCCTTTCTCTGTCCCTCCCCCTTCCTAAGCATGATGTCCTTCTCCAATAAAAAGCCTCTCCTAACAACATGCTCAAAGTATATGAGTTGTTTTACCATCTTTTCCCCAAGGAGCACTGTGGCTGCTTCCTCTCCAAGACATTTATGTTCATTTGGCCATCCATGGGATATTCAGTACTCTTCTCTAACACCACAGTTGAAAGGCATCGATTGTTCTGTCATACTTATTCATTGTCCAGCTCTTAGTGATTTGAACAAGTGACTGAAAAGATCATGGCCTGAATCAAGTGCACCTTAGTATTCAAACTAACATCACTGGTCCTCAATAATTTGGAGAGATCTCTGTCTGCCGACTTTTCCATGCCATTCATCTCCTGATCTCCTGACTGTTGGTACCAAGTGTATTGATTGTGGATCCAAATAAGATGAAGTTGTCGACAGTTTCAATCTTCTCTTCATGTATCATGACGTTGTCTACAGGTCCAGTAGTGAAAATTTTTTTTTATGTTGAGATACAATTCATAATGAAGGCTGTAGTCTTTGATCTTCTACAGAAGCACAAGTCCTCCTCCCTGTCAGCAAGCAAGGCTGTGTCATCTGCATACTGAAGGTGTGATGAGTCTCTCTCCAATCCTGATGTCCCATTCTTCTTCACAGAGTCCAGCTTCTCAAATAGTTTGCTCAGCAAACAGACTGAATATGTATGAAGAAAAGATTCAACCCTGGAGCTCTGGTGGCCTGGTGGCAAGAGACTGCACTGCAATCCCAGAGGTACACGGTTCTAATCCACCAGATGCTCTGCTGGAGAGGGAGAGGCAATCTCTTCCTGCACTAGTCAGATCTGATTTGACGGTACACACAAAAAAATAATAAAATTTAAAAAAAAGATTCAATCCTGACACATGTTGTTGTTATATGCCATTGAGTCATTTGCGACTCATAGCAACCCTATGTACAACAGCCCTAAACCCTGCTCTATCCTGTGCCAATCACACTGCCTCTGACACACCCATCACGATTACCCCAGTCACCGAATCAATCCATCTCATAGAGGGTCTTTCCCTCCTGCGCTGTCCCTCCACCCTCCCAAGCATGATGTCCCTCTCCAAGGACCTGTCACTCCTTGCAACACGCCCAAAGTATGTCAGACGAAGCCCCAGAATCTTCGCCTCCAAGGAGTTGCTTGGTTTAATCCTCTCCAGGATGAATCTGTTTGTTTTCTTGGCAGTCCATGGTACATTCAATACTCTTCTCCAGCACCACAGCTCAAAGGCATCAATTCTCCTTCTGTCCTCCCTAGTCATTGTCCAACTCTCTGATGCATAACAAGTGATTGCAAAGACCGTGGCCTGTATCAGGCGCACCTTAGTCTCCAGAGAGACACCGTTGCTCCTAAGTACTTTAGAGAGGTCCCTAACAGCAGACTTCCCCATCACAATACGTTTTTGGATTTCCTGGCTGCTGGTGCCAAGAGTGTTGACTGTGGAGCCGAGCAAACTGAAGCTGTGAACAGTCTCAATCTCTTTGCCATCCATCCAGATGCTACCAATTGGCCCAGTGGTGAGAATCTTTGTCTTCTTGACATTGAGTCTCAGTCCATACTGAAGGCTGCCGTCCTTGACCCTCTGCAGCAAGTGCATGAGGTCCTCCTCAGTTTCAGCAAGTAAGGTTGTGTCATCTGCATAACGCAGATTGTTAATAGATCTTCCACCAATCCTGATGCCACACTTCTCCTCATAGAGCCCAGCCTCCCGGATAATCTGCTCTGCATACAGGTTGAAAAGGTCCTTTCCTAATTTTAAATCACTCAGTGTTCCCTTGCTCTGTGTGCACAACAGGCTCTTGGTCTAGGGAGAAGCTTCGCATGAGCACAATTAAGTGTCCTGGAATTCCCATTCTTCTCAATGTTAGCCATAATTTGTTATAATCCACAGTTAAATGCCTTATAGCATGTGATTCCAGGTGTCAGTTTAGTTGGGTAATAATGATAGCTTTAATTTAAGTGCATGCTCATTGCCCTTGAGAAGGTACTCATAGCCGATGTTGTATTGAGTTTCCGAGGCTATAAATCTCACAGGATGAGAAACAGCAATAGCCAACATAAATTGGAACTCAACTTTCACACGTGTCCTGTAGTTTATCTGGCAACATCTTCCATGGGCCCTTAGGCAGACCGCCGGGGACCCCAAAGGACAAGGCTACTCACGTCTCCCCTGACAGACTTTCTCCATCCCTTCAGTTTATTCTCAGACACCATGCAGCCCTTACCTCTCCTGTGTTCCCTCATTCCCCATCAACCTGACTGCCTTCTTTGGACTCGTCTGTCAGGCCCCCTTCACACACAGCTCAGGAGGACAGAGTAAAGCACCATGGCCACCTCCCTCGTCCTAAGCCGTCTACCTCTGTGAATACATCCTTGATTTTATTTTTCAGCAGCCTTGAGTCACAGCTGACCTCTCTGGAGCTGGCCTGGCCTGTATGTTTGACAGTCTTCCTGACACTCAGGGTGTGGGAGAAGGAAGGAGGGACGAAGCCCTGGGCCCTGACTCCATCAAACCAGAAACCCTCACACTCCACAGGCACAGTTCCAGAGAGTTCTTCCCTTTGGGTCTCCACCCTACGAGAAGCATCTCTGGAAGCCCAGGATCCCTCACAGGGAAGGCCAGACCTGCTGGAAGGGGAAGCCGCCCACCTGATAACTTAGCTGGAGAGGCTGCTCTGGCATCTTGGTCCACAGGCAGGAAGGACTGAGTCGGGGCGCTGTCTTGGGGAGCAGGGAGATCAGGAAGAGTGGGGAGATTGGGGGGCGTGGAATTCTGGGGGCTGGACTCCAGGCTGGTGGGCTGTGAGCTGGTGTCCGAGCCAGGGTTCAGCGGAGTGGGCTGCAGGCCAGAGGGCTGTGGAGGGGAGTCGTAACTGGTGTCCTGCGGGGTGGACTGGGAGCTGGTGTTCTTCGAAGAGGACCCCCAGCGCCTGGCGTCTGGCCGTCTCCTCTTACCCTTTCTCATGATAACTGGGTGGGACCTACATGGGGCTGCCTAACTTCCCGGGCCCCTTCCGCAGGGGCCGGTGGGGCTACTCCCCGCAGGAAGGCTCTGGCCTTGTCTGGAGCCGGCCCCCCCAGAGAACACTCAGTCACCCCCCTCCTGTGAGGTCACAAACATGGGAGGCTCCCATGGCAGAGCTGGGGGGTGGCATCTCTGCATACTGCAGCCACTGCTTATAGACAAAGAGCAGCCGTTGCCACCACGTTCCTCTTATATCTGGGTTGACAGCCCAGAACCCCACGATTCTGCATCCAAATGCTTTCTACGGTCTTTGTGGTAGATCTGTTTGGTTCCATGGCACCCAGGATGTGACAATGGCTGTCTTGTCACTAGCACCAACAGAATCTACAATCACTGTGTATTTGTGAGTTTTAGGCAACATGATTAAAGATTTGGAGGCTAGTGGAAGGATTTAGCTTCCAGAACCTTCGACGACTTTGGTTGTTCTATTACTCCAGATTTATCCACCAAGCAGTCACCCCAGGCCCCTCAAAGCCTGCACACTTGCCCCACCTGTGGAAGGTTTGAGTGGGTGAATGTGTGTGTGTGTGTGTGTGTGAGTGGGGTGGGGAGACAGTCACCTTTCGTAACTCTCACGTTGAGCAACAAATTCTCCCCAAGAACATACAGCTATTCGGAAAGAGGAAACTCATTACCTGTGCAGCGCAGATTAGCTTTCTGGGGCCAACCTGTGAGGTAGAGCAGGAAGCAGGACCTTGCTGTAAGTCAGCAGTGTGGTCTCCATTTTTAGGAAGGAAGAGGACAGTATTTACAAGACCTCCTTAAATGTCACACTTTGATGGTCTTTGAAATAAACTCCCGTGGGAAGACCACTTCCACCCTCAGGTTTCACACCGCAGGTGAGTGTGGGGCCGGGGACCCCATGAGTGCAGCCTTGGTTTGGGACAGAATTTCCTGCTGCAGAACAAGCCTTAGCACAGACCCAGCTCAGTGGAGGGGGCCCGGGTGTCACAAACAGCTGGCATGCGTCTACGAATCTCAATTCACTCAATAAAAAACTACAGGCAAGAACACCCCATGGGGCACATTTGTGGCTTCCGTGAGGCAGAATCGACTTGGGTGCAAAGGACTGGGTTTTTAACTAGATGAAAGGAACCCATGGGTGGCACAAACAGCTAAGCGCTTAGCTATTAACTCAAAGGTTGGTGGTTTGAATCCACCCAGAGCTACCTTGGGAGGAAAGCCTTGGCAATTTACTCCCAAAAAGTCGTAACCCTTGAAAAGCTTGTGGAGCATAGTAAGTCATAAATGACTCCATGGCAACCAGTGTAGATTCAAAGGCTTAAGAAGAGCCCTCCGGGAAGTCTAGAGGCCCCAAGTGAATTGTGCATTGACACGGCATGCCTCAGCGATTCTAGAACCTGAGACAGGAGCCCTGGTGATGCAGTGTGTTAAATATTGGGCTGCTTCGACTGGAGCTCACCTAACAACAAGACAGACTGAAGTTGGCAAGGATTCCACGTGACCTGCAGCCACATCAGTGCGCCTGGAAGGAGCAGAGAAGCAAGCAAATCGTTATGACACAATATAAAGATTAAACAATGTCATAAAGCAAACTGTGTGGACGGTTGAAGGGAACACCTGTAAACCTAAACGCTAATAACAATAAAAAAGACACAAAGAAGGAAAATAGAAATGGAATGGTGCAGTGCAGTGGGGCAAAACTGTTGCAAAAGACCTCTTTAAAGGGTTGAAGCGCACAGATGTCACTTTAAGAACTAAGGTGCGCCTGAACCAAGTCAAGGTGTTTTCAATTGTCCCATAATGTATGCCAAACTGGACAATAAATAAAGTAGACGGGAGAATTGGTGCCCTTGCGTTGACGAAGAACATTGAGTATACCAAGGAGAGCGAGCACAAGGAGCACAGAGCAGTCTGTCTTAGGAGAAAGGCCAGAATAGTGCTGGGAAGTCAGGATGGTGAGACTTCGTCATTGGTACTGAGGACACAGTACTGGGAGGGGCCATCCCTGGAGGAGGACAGCATTCCTGGTAACATAGAGAGTCAGGGAGAAAGAGGAAACCCCTTAATAAGATGGACTGACGCTGTGGCAGCAACCACGGCCTCAAGCATGGTAGGGGGGGTGCAGGCGCGGGCAGTGCTTGGCTTTCTTGTATGTCACTCTCCATTAGAGTCCACCGGACACCATCTGACAATAGTAAGGAGGTTCCCAAGCAATGAAGAAAAGGTACGAGGGAGTTTGTCCTGGAAGAGTGAAAGGCCTGGGAACAAATGTTCCGTGCTTGGAACATTTCTAAGTCTCCCGTGTGGTCTGACTCGGGGAGCCTGAGTCTAGTGGTCTGACTCGGGTCTGAGGTCCTAGCTGGGAGCCTGAGTCTTCTACAGTCTGGTCTGAAGCCACTGTCCTCGACTTGGGCCCCATGCTGTGATCAGGGGCCCAGATCCTTTGTGGAGGCCTTTTCCCTCCATCAGCAGTCCTAGTGAGCCACCGATGGCTAAGGACTCAACTGCTAACTGAAAAGGTCAGCAGTTCAAATCCCCCAGCCTCTCCTCAGAAGATGTGGCACTCTGCTTCCGTAGAGATTGTTGTTGTTAGTTGTCATTGAGTTGAGTACGGCTCTTAGTGACCCTTTGAACCACAGATCTGAACCCTGACCTATCCTGTGCCTTCATCACCATCTCTGACACGCTTGAGCCCACTGCTGCAGTCACAGTGTCACTCCATCTTGAGGGTCTTGCTCTCTTGGAAACCTCAAAGACAGTTCTACTCGGGCCTTCAAGGCTGCAATGAGCTGGATGGATGTGAACATAGTAGGTTTAGGTTTGTCTTCCTCCTTCCTCTCCTCACACTCCAGAAGGCGAGGTTCGAGAGGGATGAGGTCCAGAGCAGGCTCAGCTCAGGCGTCCTGAGCCCAAGGAGGGCAGGACAGGAAGAGAGGCAGCCTGTACAGGAGAAAGCAGGATATAGAAGGAGGTAGGGATGAGGGGTGGGAACAAGGCACCTTGGAGGTGTTATCCTAAGGGCTCTTTTCCAGGATGGTCAAGGGATTTTGGCCTCAGTTGAGGAACACAGGCTTACTAACCAGGCACACTGTCATGCACGATATCAGGCATGACTGAGAAGAATCAAAGGGAATACAGAGTACAGACATCATGCTTGGAAAGGTGGAGGGACAGCGAGGGAAAGGAAGACCTTCAACCAGGTGGTTTGACACCGTGACTGAAGCAATGGGCTCTAGGGAGTCAGAGATGGTGAGGTTGGCACCGGACAGGACAGGGCTCAGATTTGTTGCTCATGTTGCCAGGATGAGAGCCTGGCCGCTTACTTAGCAGCTTGTAGTTCAAACCCACCAGAATTCCAACAGGAGAAAAAGCCTGGCTATCCGTTCCAGTGAAGACTATGGTCTAGGGAGCCCCCTGAGGCAGTTTTATGGG